CCCTTGTGCCGTCGAAGGACTCAAAATGGCCTGTGCCGGCGAGGGTTAAGGTGGCCACTTTGCCCCACTCTCCCCTACGGATTAAGTAATGAGGTCTTCGAAGCCGATACTGGGAGATGTCAGATCGGTTGTGAAGATTGAGACTGTGGTCCGCATTCTTACTGTTGATTGCAGCAAATAAATTATGAAATACCAAAACATTTACACCACAACGCATAACACCAGTCTTGGTTAGTTACTTTTGGTTCTGCCAGGTCACAAAGGCTCATCTATACCAAATATCAACAGCATTCCTCTTCTAATCTTGATGCCCAGATACTTTACGAATTCGCCATGAATGGTGGTACTTTAATTTGCTATAACAATCAAGAGGCTCAACTCACAACAATTATTAACCAATAAAGCCTATTTTGCCATCTTGTCCTCCCCCCCCCCTAAAAAAAAAATAGACGGCGGTGTTTGTCTATTTTTTCGGCATTTTTTCTACATATAAAGGCGCGAAAAAAACTCCAATTATGCCGCAATTGGCGCTGACGAAAGTCGTTGGCTATTGTTTTAGTTCATTTTTTTTCACGCCGGCGGATCTTTTTTCTCGTCGGCTTTTTTTTCGAAATTCCGGCAGGCGACTATTCCTTTAGTCGGTAAAACTGGCCACTGACCTCAAAGGTCACCGGTTGATCTGAGACCTTAAAATCAAGTACCATTCGCTGCGTCTCGTAACGACGCATGCGCTCGTTTTTTCCGCAAGGCTCTATCTCAGAGGTCAGCAGGTCCCTCGGGGCCGTGCCCCCTTTTCGGGCGCCAGGCAGGGCCATTACCCCACCTACCAGACCCCATTGCCTACACAACCAAGTTTACTGAAATGTCAAGTTTACTGAAAAGTTACTGAAATAAAAAGTTTACTGAAACCCTTCCGCGACTCTTTGGGTATTTTGGGTAGTGTATAAAAAGCGTTGGATCACGACAAAATTGTACCCTCGAGCCGATCAGTTTTTTTTTACCTGCCCTAAAACCTGACACATGACCTTGACACAAATAACCGTTGACTTGTTAGTTCTTTCTTGGGATCATGGTAGGCCACAAAATCTGAATTCAAGAAGTTACGGCGGGTCCCGATCTTCTCGACAATTGACATTGACCTCTTGAAAGTCACCCAATGGCCATGGAACTTAAAATTGGGTAGCAGCGGCTTCCTAACGTCACGGGTGGCACGCCCGTTTTTTACTGCAAAGCTCCAGTTCACAGGCCGGGAGGCTGGGGGTCCGATCGGCCCCTCCCACTTTACGTTAGATGCTATGAAAACGCCAATCAGACGGGCGACGGCTAGCGTTCGGCCTGGACCTATCTTTTAAGTCTGAGGCCAAACAGTCGTGATGCATGTCCCTCAAGGGAGCCATTAATTCTAAGATGAGGCTTTCTCAGAGACCCTCATTACCCCCGGCCGAGGGCTCCATTACCCCCAAAGGGGGCATGCCCCACCATTTGCCGACCCCTGCTCTATCTCCATTAGGGGCGAAACGGCGAACTGGGATCGGACCAACCCCTGAAACCCATTTTGTTTGCGTGAAAATCAGGAGCTTATAGAAAGAACACCTTTCTAGCTTTTTTTGCATGTCGATTAGCAGTGACCTGAAATTTACTTTGAAAAAAAGCGAAAATTTTGGTCCAAAATGCCATTACAGAAGAATGAAAAAAGTAAACGATTTTTAACATAAAATTTTCCATTCCATTTTTCCTTTCAAGTTGTATTAACGCGCGACCCGTTGGGGGGGGGGGGGCAAGGGCCCTCTCCATGTGGTTTTTCGCAGATAACTCAGAAACGGCTGCGAATTACGACTTGAAATTTTTAGTACCTCTCCAGACATCAATTTTACACAGCTTCTGAAAAAATTAGGTCCCAGGTCATCTCAAGTCACGAGCTATAGAGGTCAAACTGAGGTCATGTTCGGCGATTTTTCATCGAAAAAGTTGTTCACAGGAGAAAAAAAAATCGCAGAAAATAAGGGTTTCAACTTAGCGACTCAAAAATTCGACCGTGGGTATAAAAAAATCATGGCAAACAAAATGGCTATCCCGAAATTTCCAAAATATAAAAATCTCTGGATCTAGGGATTTTCTAAATCAAAATCTAGCTTTCTTGAGAAATTTTTTGAAATTTGGGGAGATTTTCAAAAAAAACGGAATATATGTTAGAGAAGAACCCTTAACTGTCCTTACACATGCCAAAAATTAACAAAATATCTCTAAAACTGACTGAGATATAGACATTTGAATGACTGAAAAAGTAGCGACTGTTCTGATGACGTCACAATATTTTCGATATTTGTGCTTGAAATCAGTCAGGAGTAATACCTATGATCCTTATCAACTTCTTGTTGGCTGAATATGATCCTTTACGTGACTAAAATCACTTAAACGTAAAAAATTGTTTTTCGTTGTTAACTGGTACAATTTGACCTTGTTTGACCTTCCTGTGACGTCATAGGTCCAAGAAAAATGGTCAAGGTTGTTTTGTGGATGCATATATATGACATGTATGCATAAATACTCGAATATTCACAATATAACATGCCTTTCCTTACGATTCACCAAAGTGTTTTCTGATTGGTGGAGGCTGACCCCTGTTGTGACGTCAAAGGTCATCATCCACTAGGTGACTATCCACATGCCAGATCTATCATATACATCATATCCAGACTCATTTTGAACACTTAGATTTTATTTTTTATGACCGACTTCTCGTCATTGCAAATTGGACTGATTTGACCTTATTTGACCTCCCTGTGACGTCACAGGTCAAATATCAAGGTCATCGATATCCTATCTTGTGCATCTCGATGAGCTGTATCGAATGCCGTTTGAATTGTTCCGATCCGGCTATTGGTTCCAGAGATACGACGGGGGCCCTTTGCCCCCCCCCCCCCCCCAACAGGACGTGGAATCTGTCAGACATCAACGGGGCGCGGGCTAATATTTGATTCATTGCAAATTCAGTGCTATTTACCGTTAGTAGCTTGCTAAACCCGTTCTTCAGTTAAAGCCCATCAAACTCACACTTACAATCCGAAGTTAAAAATATTAAGCCATACAACTAAACAGTTAAATCTGAGAAGTATGATATTTTGGCAGGCGTCTTTGGGGCCTAAAATCATCCCTAGGGCCGATTTTCATTCAAACCTGAGAGACAAGGGTGACGGGTCTGGTACGATCTATCGTGGAATGTCCCGGGTATCACTCCGCACTTCCGCACGTGTAGGCTTACTCTCATGCTCGCTCGTTTGTCGCCCCCAAAGGCGTCTCGCTGGTATGTATGTGTGTCAAGGACTCTCATATCTCCGGAACGCTGTGGCAGATCGACACGTGGTCTCCCTCTCCACTGTAGGGTGAACTAAAACGGGGTAACACTTTCACTGGTGGTTGGCCCGGTAGCTCAGTTGATTCAGCGTTGGACTCTGCGTGGTGATACCACGCGTCCCAATTATGACAGCCCGGGTTCGAGGCACGACGGGCGCTCGACGTTTATCAGCCTTCTGACGGGTATGGTTGTGGTTGGTGGCAGGCCGTGGCCAGGCGAAGTCAGTGAGGGGACTGGCCGTGCGCGGCAATGAGCGCACGTTAAGCTTTAGACTCCAAACTCTGCCATAGATCAGGAATTGCGCGCTTGGAGGGTAGAGGACAAAGCCAACGCAACAAGCTCTGCCTAGCAGAGGTTCTCTCCTTGTGTCTTGTGAATTCTTCCACTCAAAAGGTTCGGAAAAATTTGCAAGAAAAAAGTTGCAAATCGGCGTGCGCACACTTAACCCGCGCGGGGCTGGGGTCTGCAGCCGAACGCGCGGGGCTGGGGGGGGGTAAATTTTACCCCCCCCCCCCTGTTATCTCCCGAACTAATGGTCCGATTTGGAAAAATCAAACGCCAATCGAAAGATCTCATCACGAACAACTAAAAACATGTACTTAATTTAAAGTTTGAGGTCAAGGTCAAGGTCAGGTCAAGGGTACAAATTGCAAGTTTCTACAGTATCGGCCTTGCACCGTAGTTGCCGAAGAATGGAGTCATCGACTGAGACTGATTGCCCAAAACGTGTTCTTAGGCTACCAAGACAATATTCGTTGCATACAATATCATTCAGAGGTCAAGGTCAAGGTCAGGTCAGGTCAGGTCAGGTCAGGTTACCAAAAAACAAAATATAGAAAAGGGCATGTGCGACACATGTTTTATGGGTCATTTTACTCATAGAATTCAATAGGCACACTCAATAAGTGATATGGACCACCTCTGGATGAATTTCAGGTCGAGGTCAGGTCAAGGTCAGGTCAAGTGAGGTCAAATTTTGAAGTTGGTTGTTAAGGCCTAAAAAGGTGTCTATCTGATGCAGTTTTTCACGGCGAATCGAATGGTGCTATTTTTGTTGCCGTACGAGGTCTAGAACGTCCAAAAAAATCGTTTTTCAAAATTTTGTGTGTCGTGACGTCATAAAATCTTGAATAACTCCCACATTTTTGAACCGATTCTTCTAAAAATTGGTATGTAGGTGCACATAGACCACTTCTCTGACATATATTCTGGTTTTTTCGATACACTCAAAATTTTGGATTTTATAATTATTTTCCCAAAAAAGTCAGTTTTTTTAGGAAAAAAATTGGGCCAAAATCCAAATTTTTTAAAAAACCGAGATAGCCATTTGATAGACAAAGTATAATTACGTATAACCTTTTTTGTTACGTCTTGATTCCTTTAAAAATGAAGATGTTAGCGGCGTTTGAAATTTTGCCGTTTTTGAGGCGAAAATGGCGAACATGACGTCACTAAAACGTCAATTTCTCAAAAAATTTCCGACGGATTTCGCTCAAATTTTCAGGGAACGTGTCAAATTGATGTAAGACAAAGTACTGAAAATTTGGCGGCGCTGCGCGCCGCTGTCTTTGAGATATTGCAAAAATTCGCATGGGGGGTTAAATTTACCCCCCCCCCAGCCCCGCGCGGGTTTACATTGACCTACCTTGTTTTTACCGGGTACCGCTCTGGCGACTCGGTCCCACCGCTCCGACGTTCCCTTGTGGTAGTGGGCGAGCGCTACCTCCAACGCCTTTTGCTGGGTTTGCGACCAGGCGCAATGCTCGGCGTTGTCCGCGGCGCGCGTCTTCACCTTACGCCTCTCGGCAGGCGGCTGGTCGGCCGGCACCTCCAGCACACGGTCGTCCACGTGCTGGCCGTCAGCCGTGTGCGTCTGCGCGCTGCTCGATACCGGCACCATGTGCGGTTTGTCACGGATAATACGAGCCATCTTTGTGACCTCTGTGACGGTGCGCTCCAGCGCCTCTGCGATCAGCTGCCATCGCTCGGGCGTGCCGCCCGGGTGGCGCTTCACCAGCCGCGCCAGCTCCACCAGGTCTTCGTCAGTCCAGGGCCCGGAGCGCGCTGTGGACCAGGTGCGCGCAGCCACAGCCGCACCCGAGACCACGGCCCGATCGGCCACTGAAGGTGCTACTTGCTGCTGCAACTCTTGCAGCCGCTGGCGGCGGCGCTCTTTCAGCTCGCGCTTTTTGTCGCGCTGCCGCTGCAGCTCGTCCCGCTCCTCCTGCAGCTGTCTCGCGCGCTTTTCGGCGTCCAGCCGGCGCTGCTCGCGTAGGCGGCACTCGGAGCGAGCCCGGTCGACCAGCTCGAACGGGGCTGAGACCACCAGCCAGCGGGCGGCGCGCAGCGTTTGAAACGGTAGCGTGTTCCACCAGCTGGGAGACTTCACCTCCGTCATGTACTGGTCAACCAGCACGTCAAAGTCAATGTCCCTTCCTTGCTTTCGTTCACGCTTGAATTTGGTCCGTACAGCTTCTTCCTGAAAGAAAATGATAGTTCAATGATCATATCACCAACAATAAGACACATTCTGGGGTAACAAGCGACAAACGCGCGAGAGTGAGCTCTGCACGTGGAGAACTGCAACGGTAACCCCAATTGACTTGTGCATGTGCACAGCACTATACAAATTATTGACCAGTGCCTAACGACCCGCAGTTGCCAGTGCACAGTCGCTCCATTGAGGATCTCAAGAGCCATCACGTGGCGCTACGGTCACGGTAGGGCGAGTTCAAAACCCGAGGGAAACGATGGGTCTGTTCCAGTCGCACTTCCTAGCACCTCTAAACTTCTCCAAGAGCAAGAAAGAGGAGGTTAGAGCAGGGCCCTCCTTGACTTTGTAGGGGCTAGAGCTGCCACTGGAACAGGGAAGCAATCTTGGAAGAGTTTAGAGGTGTTAGGAAGTGCGACTGGAACAGTCCCAAGGTCACCGGTCATTGTGGGGGAAGGAGGGAGGGTGACGCGCTATCGCGGTGTGGAGCGTGCGTAGCGCCGGGGGTGGACCGCCCGTCACTGCGCCGCGCCGGGGCTGAGGGGAAGGAGGGATGATGGTTGCGGGTGCGTTCACTCCAGTAGGAGGAGGTGAGGTAAGACGGCCCACCAGCCTTCCCGGCTGAACCACTGCTGTTATCTGCTACTTTATGCATTAACCCTCGCCCGCACATGGGGGGGGGGGTTGCCACCCCCCCCCAGGTAGTCTTTCTGCTCTGCACTCAACATTTTTAGAGCTAGAAGGCTGATTTTTCGTATAGCTGCTCCTCTATCCTTTCTTGATGTCCACTGAAAATTTCAAGTTTCTGTGAATTTTGGTTTCGGAGATATGACCTTGTTTTTCAGGTCATGTCATGACCCAAATGGCCAATTCTCAACATCTTGCGTTGGCTATGGGCCTTGTGACCTTTTGACACCTCGATTTCGGCCTTTTTTGCCAGTCTTACCTCCCACCTATCATGGAACATGTTGTTCGACGATGTACAGATGTCAAGGTCAGGGTCAAGGTCAACCTAGGTCATCTAAGATAATTGCGTTTTAGGCAAGCGGAAGTTACTTTTTGTGATGTTTTTTGACTGCATTTTTGGTAAAAGCTTCTCAGATCATGATTTCATGTAATATGGACACATAAACAATCGGTGCACACATCAGTATACACACAGACACACACAGACATACAAACACATATAATTGACTTTGACCTAACTTGACCTGAAATGACCTCAGCAGCAAAAACCTGGTCGGGTAGTGTGACAAAGAGGTTCTAGCTGGCTTGGCACCAGAAAACGGCATCGTCATCGGTATATGATAAGCAGCGCACTTGATATCCAACGGTGACCCAAAACAGCAACATTTTTTAGTTTGACCTGACCTGGAAGGTCAATGACTGACCTGAGAAGGTAAAACTGGGTATCATTGGATTCGTCTCTTCCCAAACAATCTTTTTGGTCTTTACCGCTAAGCTCTATCTCCAACAGGAACGAAATGGCGCGGGGGGGAGGTGGCAACCCCCCCCCCCCCCATGTGCGTTCTAGGATGGGAAAATGGCATGTGCGGGCGAGGGTTAATGTGGAGAAGGAAACCATACTTACAAGAGAAACCCTACAAATTATAGGACGGTATCAGTGACCCCTTTGTTTGGTAAAGTGCTTAAAATAGTCGTTCGAGACCAGTTATTTACTCACGTGAAACCTGCTCTTTCTGAGAACCAGCACGGGTTTTTGCCTGGGCGATCTTGCGAAACGAATTTGTTTTGTATGCTAAGCACTGCCTGGGATTCTATTGCGAATGGCAGACAAACTGACGTGATATACATAGATTTTCAATCCGCATTCCAAAGCGTTAACCACCAGCTTCTCGTTCATAAGCTTAATAAATCCTATTGTATCAACGGGCTGGCTCTGAGCTGGTTTACATCCTTTCTGTCGGATAGAAAACAAAGAGTCGTTGTGAACGGTAAGTGCTCCTCGTGGCAGGACGTTCTCTCTGGTACACCGGAAGGTAGTGTAATTTCGCCATTGCTTTTCGCTCTTTTCGTTAACGATTATCCATTGTGTGTTCAAACAAAATGCTCAATGTTTGCGGATGACATCAAGGTGTACTCAGATATTTCAGATTTGACAGATACTGCACGGCTACAAGGGGATATTAACCCGGCAGACGGTGGGCCTCCCGGCCACCTTCCGCGCGGTGGGGGGGGGGGGGCATTTTTTGCCCCCCCCCCCCGTATCTCCGAAACTACTGGACGGATCCGGAAAATTCAAACGGTGTTCGATAGCCCTGTCAAATTTGTCAAAGGAAACCAAATTTCATTGACCTCGGGGTCACCGATGACGTCACAGGTCAGGTCAAAGATAAAATGCTTCACCGTTCACGGGGCTTCTAGGGAAAGCGCTATAACACCGAGTAAAACACATTTTGTCGAAAATCAGCGATAGGGCGTCAGTTGTCTAGTACATATGTTGCTATTAGAGGTCACTGGTCATATCAGGTCAGGTCACAGGTCAGGTCACCAAAGGTCACCAAGGGTCACCACATGAACCCAACTTTGCTAAGGTTGTGCGATGCATGTTTTATGGCCAGTTTTTCATTTCCAACTCAATGGTGTTAATTATAAGACCATCAGGTACGGTTTAGGTCACTTTGTGGTGGAGGTCAGGTCAAGGTCAGGTCAAAAAAGGTCAAATTTCAAAGTTGATATTTTTGCATAAAATGGGTATTGATTCAATGCAGCTCGTCACGGGGAGTCTAATGGTGGTCTTTGTTTTGCGCTACGAGGTCTAGAATTGCTAAAAATTGAGATTGAAAATTTGACGTCTTCAATTTTGAACAGTTTTTCGCTATAGCTTGGCCAAACAAAGAGGTATCGATCTCAAATTTGGTGTGTAGATAGAAGGCGGTAGGGACTATCACATATCTTCCGGTTTTTTTCGAAATTCGAAAAACTTTTTTGGATTTTTCGGCTATTATATTCAAAAAATCTATTTTTTGATTTTTGGGGGTCAAAATCCAAAAATTTCAAAAATCTGAGATATCAGTTTTGTAGCCCTCTGAATTCTACACTTTTTATGTCAAAAAACCTTTTTCTGTATCTCTAAAGCTGTAGGCCTGACAGCTCTTCTCGCGAAACCTTTTTTGGGTCGAAAATGGCAGAAATGACGTCACTCTGACGTCATTAGCGTCCAACCTGTCATAGCCTTTGGAAAATTTTTGGTCACCATGTGCAATAGCTATTCACAGGAGGGTACTGAAAGTTTGGTGACGATCGGCGCAGCGGTTCTCGAGATATATCGAAAAAACTAAAGGGGGGGGGGCAAAAAATGCCCCCCCACCGCCTGGAAGGTTAACCCTCGCACGACCAGGCCATTTCTCATAACACGAACGACCAGGGGGGGGGGGTTGTTACGACCCCCCCCCTGGCGTTTCAAAATGGAAGGTCGTAGAGCTTAGCGGAAAAAACCAACGGATTGCTCTCAACGAGATCTCGCGATTGGTGGTATATTTTTTGGTCCTAGGTCAACATTTGACCTACTTATGACCGGTCAAAGGTCAAATTTTCCGAAAAAATCAAACTTTTTCAACTTTCCGCGGCGATTGCGGCAAAACGGTGGGAGATATCGACTTGAAACCTTCACTATCGTGTTCCTTGATCAATTTTCTATCATTTGGTATGTATTTCGTTTCCCTAGCTCTAAAAATGGCGCGTTGGGAGCGCCGGAAGTCGGCAAGGTCACAGTCGGCGGCAGAAATTCGAAAAATCAAAATTGAAATTTTTGAAATCTGATTGTATTTTTGGATTTGGGAGGTCCATTTGCTCCCTAGAGAAGCTAATATTGCTGCATATTCCCATTGAGGTGACAAGAATTAGCAAAATAGTGGTTCGGGCGCTTTTCAAAAATAGTACCGGACGCTGTTCCTCTTGTGACGTCATAGCTCCGTGACCTGACCTGACCCGGTCAATTTTCTTGCACCACACGATAGCCAATGCTAGCCCCAACATGCATGGGAAGTTTCATCATGATCCATCAAACAATGTGGGTATCACCGGCAGAAAACCTAGGGATTCGGCGCACACGTTTGGTAACTGTCGGCCGGAGGCTGTACCTCTTATGACGCCATAACTCCGTGACCTGACATGACCCGATCAATTTTTTTTCGGCAAAAGATGCGCAAAGGTTGCCCCAGAGGGTATTGAAAATTTCAGCCCGCTACGACAAGCCGTTTAACGTGCACTTCGAAAAAAACTCAGGGGGGGGGGTTGATACAACCCCCCCCCCTTAGGCGTTCTAGGGTTAAGAGACTTTATGGTTGGTCGAAAACTTGGAAATTTAAATTGAATCCCTCCAAGTGCAAGCAGTTCTGTATTACCTTAAAAAGTGACCCACTTACTTGTCAATACATGATTGGTGACACTCGCCTGGAAATCATGCACACAATTAGGGACTTGGGGACGGTTTTAGACAGACGACTCACGTTTTGCAATCATGTTGACTTTATTGTGCCTAGGGCAAACAAAATGAACGGTAGTCTTATGAGGGCGATGCAGTCTGAATCAAAAATTGGCATAGTTTACTGGAAGTCAATTTTGACCGCTTTCTATGGAAATGTTCGTGCGATATTAGAATACTGTTGCGTCATATGGGGTGGTGCGGCAAAATCGCACTTAGAGTAGAAAAGATACAGTATCACTTTCTCAGATGGCTATACTTTTATGTAAATCGAAGCGCGATACCATCCGATATTTATTATTCTCGCTTGCTCCAAATGTTAAACGTAACTGACTTAGAGAAAAGACGCCACCAATACGATATCATGTTTGTGGAAAAACTATACAAAGGTGTCCTCGACTCACATGTACTATTGGCACGGTTTCCGCTGTATGTTGCTCCAAGAGTTACAAGGAGGATTGAAGGAGCTCGTGGTGTCATGAATGTACCATTTGCGCGAGTCGACACTATGAAAGGTTCGCTTTTTGTTAGGGCACCCACT